TACATTAGAAAAAACCAAAATTGCAGATATAAGCATGAAAAATCTAGTCTGATATGTTCATTTTCTATAATTATTGCACATTCTAAAATTATTAAATATAAACGGTGGAATGTCATTAGAATATTTAAAATGTATGTGATGAATTTAATTGCAGGTGTACTTTATCATATATCGAGTTGGAGTGTGTGTTTAATTAATATTTCAAAATCATTCTAGCATTGTTGTGTTTGTCTGTGTAAAATAAATTTAATGTTGATTTATTAACGTGTAAAATTTTTTGTTTTCCATCAAAACGCTTTGATTGGTAAACCTTCCCAAGTTGGTAGGTATAATAAAAAGCCTGATGTTGGTAAATGAGCCCACAGTATAAAATTGCATAATAAAGTATAAGTTGGCCTCATCCTTTAAATGGTGGTACAGACTTGTCTCAAGAAAATATGCGACAAAGCACAACCTGATTGCAATTGTTGGTTTTGGCATAAATATGACCCAAACATCAAACCATACACCGACAATATCTACCTTTACCAACCAAAATTTCAATATAATGAGAATATCAAGAAATATGACAATGAAATTCCTGATAAAAACTCTTTTCAAACTAGCCAAGTTAAAGCGGCATGCCTTTAGTAGAGAGTATGTGTTAATTCCAGATGAATTTCTTAAAATAGATCTTATTTATAAAAATAAAAAACCTTGCACTGTATATTAATTACTTATAATAAGGGTTTGGCGATGATTTTGGTTTATTTAAATGTTATTTACAAGCTAAAGCATCAACGTGGAATCTCTTGAGAATTAACTTTGACAATTTTCAATAATGTGATAAAATTCATTAGTAGGGCATTATTATATTTGTTAACTATTGAAGCTTAAATATGATTTAAATACCAGAATTGTCTAAAGTAATCAGTAATATAATCAAAAATTTGTATTTAAACTTAGTACCATTAAATACAATACGACATCAAGAATTGGGGAACCCAATACAACTATATAATTTAACCATTGCTGTTTCGACAAAATATACGTTGTACACAACAAAAATTAACCAAAGTGGCGATGTTGTATCAAGGTGCTATTTGTAAAAACAACTCCAGAAAACAGCAAAACTTTCAAAGATTGTATGGAAATTAGATATTTTATCTAACATGGCTATCAGCATCAATGGGTTTTCACATTTTAATATATTTAGAAATAATATCAAGTTAAACATACGAATGATTGCCAGGCAAATTTCGTTGACTCGACGGCTATATATATTAAAAATCTCTGAAATCAATAATTCTAAATACCATAAATAATATGAATGAATTATCTTTCAACATCTCATAATAAGATCAACCTTTCCATGTAATACCAAGGTATATGTGTGTTGTGCTGCTAAATCTGGCATTTTAATCATATTTATAATTTCTTTCTAGTTTTTTGCAGTTTTACTTTTAAAAGTTTTATCAAAAAATCTTATCAACCAAAAAGTTCTAAACATGGTAGCATACAACAAATTATATCACGAGAAATTAAAATTCTCTAGTTTAATTGTAATATACCGGTGGCTTCTTCGTTGCCATTTATTTAACCAGCTAGTTGCATCAAGGGGTTTGGGATTTAATGCTATTCTCTAGTCACATTTTGATTATATAACATTATACAATCTCAATTTTATATTTAATATTGCATGATTCATATAAACAGTCATGATATGCATTGCCGGCATATTGTTTCTCAAATTGTCCGAGACTGCATGTTTTGAGCCAATACAATCTAGAACCAAGTATTATAAAATACAGGATGTATAGCAATACAAAAGACACAAGTTATCTCACCATAAAAGAAGATGGAGTTTCTAGGAAATATGCTGAATACTTGTAGCTTTCTGGATGCAGGTATGCCCCATCATACACGAATAAAGCTGTATTTTCTGAATTCTTAAAAGATAAAGCAGATTATAATAATATTGACGTTCTTTTCTCAACAGAATTGGATTAGTATTTTATTAAACAAAACAAATTTATTATACCATTTTGAGAAAATCAAATCATGTTAATTTAGATTGAGTTTATAAGCCCATACAATTTATTTTCTATAAGTTAATATTGCCTTTGTATTTGTCGGATGGACGTCTGCGTATTATACTATTTTATTTGATCAAACAGTTTTATTAATTACAATGCTATAAAATTTTTTGAAAAACATATGAATTGAATAGTAAATGTAAAAGAAAGACGAAGCAGGTAGATTATGATAACAACAAGGACGGTGATTTTTTAACTTTTGGTTGAAAATATTTGGCCAATAGCGAATATGTACATTGTACTATTTAAAACTATCAATAGATATATTAGAAACAAATCTTTTAATTCACTCTGATGGGTGCCATGTTCTTTCTTAACTGGGTATTTGAGTTTTTATGTTTTGCCCAGACTCTTTCCTAAATATACTTCTCTGCATAGTTTTTCTCACAATGTATTGATATAGTAAAACATCATCCTATTCTTCTGCAGTCATATTTGATTAATGTGAGGCTGTTATTACTCAAATTAAGAAATTGTTGCCTATATCACAGTTTTATTTCCGAAACATAAACAGACAGACGTATTGGTGTATGCTTATGCGTTCATACATGTTATTTTGCACATTAAATTGTGTTATTATATTCCAAATGGAAATATTCCGGCCTCCAACATCACAATAAGCCAATAGAGTAATTTCAACAATTTCGCTCGCAATACCAATTATGCAACAATTCATATCTATATTAGTCTAATCTTTAATGTTCCATTTAAAAGAAAAACAAATCCATAGAGTAATGGAGATGCCAAATAATTTCTCTGACAAATGTTCCTCATAACTCCTCAGGCATAGAGAATGTACGGTTAGATAGTATCTTTGCACCAACCCAGCAATTTTTAGTTTATACGAATAACCTACGTAAAATGATGCATTGTACCACTTCGCTACTACGTGAAAATCTTTCTCGTAGGACTTATTTAAAGTTGTTAATTACATACAAGACAAGAAATTATTGGTGAAACCGTCAGTTTTTAAATTAGAAATAACTTATTTAATACCTAAACCGCCTTTTCTCTTCCACATTAGTATATGTCTTTGAATGTTATAATTGGCTCCAAATATACCTGGATTGCACACTATCCCCTATTGTTTTGGTTCCTCAATATTTAGATGCTAAAAATCTTTTAATATCCTATAATATTCATTTCAGATATACCCAGCCAGTTTATATCTGATAAACACTATGCATGAAGTACTGATGCCCTCATATTCAATACATCACATGGCTTAGATCTATGTTTAAATACTATTCAAGTAGGACACACGATGTCGATGCATTTATGAAACATACCGGACATCCATGTTGTCTTTAGTGTGCATTTCCATTCTTCCACAAATACTGGTTTCTTATTACACTCCAGAGATATGGGTTTAATGGTGTGTCGATTGGCAAGTTTATGCAGGATATTTCTAATTATTTGAAGTACTTAGATATAAAAATCTAGCAAGTATGTCTTAACATGAGTGGAATTTTTAAAAATATGCTCAAAACATTCTCTTGTTTTAATATATAGCTTTTGAAAATTAAATGTGCTATATGCTTTGAAATTCCGTTATAAAATTTACAAAATCATATTTCTTTTTCGATCCACATATGGTACATTTACATCTTAAGATAAAAACGACGGACATTTATAAATCTTAATTTTATTTACTTTCATATAAAGGTTCCATGTGTTATTAGATGTTATTTGTGAACTGTGAATTTATATCTTAAGAAATTGCATGTAATTTTTAATCTATTTACGGTTAACTTCTATCTAATCGATTCATCTATATTTTCATGATCTAAAATTTTTTTGAAAACAGCAACAGCATAAGATCATAGAGAACTTCATTATTGAAGTTGATGTGATGAAAATTTTATGAATAATTATCTTAATGATCTTATAATCGTATCTTTGTGGAAACCCCTTAACTACATTTCTTTCATTAAATAATATTCAAATTTTATAACTGACATATTACAATGATCCGAGTACAATTTATAGTGTTTTAGTTACAATAAAAGGTCCCGAATTACTAACGTTTTTGTATTAAAAGTTATGCTGCAATTAAAAATAAATCATCAAGGGTCTTAATAAAAATCATAGAATAACCCTTAGAAGCTTGTTATTAAACATCTCCACATTGTATTAAATTAATTACAGCAAAAATTGCAAGTTGAGCATAACATTAGCATCAATTTTCTAGCAATATTCAGAACGATTGATGAATGACCCAATGAAAAAATGACAAGTAGAATGGCGTTAAAAAGTAATGGAAAACTACTATGGCAAGATAACCTATGCAATCAATTTTTCAATAATGCTACTCGATAAAATTCACTAAACATTTTAAATCGATCTGTTAATCAAAAATAGTGTGCTAAATTTATCAATTAATATTGGCCACAATCAATATCTATTCATAAGATATCTAACATTTGAAAGGCACACATAATCACACGATATAACATTGAATATTTGCCGAAGCATTTCTGTGTTTAAGCACAATTAAGAAGAAATTCTTTCAGTGAAAATCACCAGTTGACGTTAATTTGAATCAACATGAATGAAAATTGGTTGATTTATTAACCGTACACTTTTACGGCTACAAATCAAGAATTATACCATGTAACATAAAAATATATCTAGGTTATTTGATCGCTACAATAGGAAATCTGTTTATAATTAAATCATTTGGAGCATCTCTTGCATTTTTAAATGCCATGTTTTTATTTACTTTGGGTAAAATGAACGAACAACTTGTAATGTAATACTAAAATAAAAAATCCATCTTATATATTTACACAAACATCTTAATATATAAGTGAATGATTTATTTATGCATAGTTCCATAGTTAAAAAGGTTCAAATGGTCATCCCACAAAAAACAAATGGAGTCTAATTATATTAAACAAACGAATCTTTGCCTTGTTCATTTTTTCATAAACATCTCAACAGAAATATGACTGCATGCAATCCTTTTGGAAACAAATAATATGGGATATGCTTTAATTGATAGACAGCCAAGAATGTCAGTGGCAGTTTTGGCTCGTCACATCCTCTTCCTGACAGTGCATCGGCACATAGGCTCAGAACATATCGTACCCCTTCACACACTCTCCTGTTCACCTGCACCAGCCCAGCAACCAGTCCAGACTCCCCAGTCTTGAGGATCTCTTCAAGATGCTTCTTCAATCCCTCATGTATTATGTTGAATCTGAACCTGGCCGCATTGGTGAACTTTCTGAATGCATCCTTGATACACGCCACAGTCTTCTGTGTGGCTGCATTGAGGATGTCAGACAGTTCCTTCTTCAGACTATCCTTGGCAGCAGCAATGGATTGCTTGTCTGATGTGTAGATGTTCTGGATTGCAGCAGCCACGGATTGCTGGAACGGGCTGTTGGCAGTTCTGATGGCAGCGAGTACAGCAGGATCTGCACCC